ATATATATATATATATATATATATATACGTATATCATAAATATACATAATTAAGAAAAAACATGACATTACAAAGGTTAGATGTGTTATTACTTACATGTTTTTATTTTTCAATGTCACATGTAGCAAAGTCATTGACCCTTAAAAGGCAGATAAGTTGAAAAATGAGATGAGTACAATTTTAAGCCAATTGAAAATGTATTTTTCTCCTTCATTTTTTTGATATAATGGTTTACTTGATTATTCATCTAGTGAGGGAAGTTTGGTTGAGCCCACTAGTTTACTTAAGGTGGATATACCAAGTTGAGTGATAAATGAAAATCTTAAAAGGATATATCAAAATTTTGTATAATCTAAATTTCTATTGTTTAAAGACACATTGTAAAAGAAGTTATTGAGTTTTTTTTTATTTCCAGATTACATATCACTAACCAGTGTAGAAAGGTCATCTTCTATTTTATTTATTGAAATAATCGACATAAAAATGACTAAGTTTCTCAAATCAAGAATTGACACAGAAAATCCAAATTAACCAACGTAGAATGACCCTATTGCACTAATGATTACACTTAATATGTTTATACATTGAATATTGAAATTTATAAAGTTACTTATGTTGAAAGTCAGAAATAATATATATTCTATATTGTTATGTTATTATTTGCATGTGTGATATAACATATATCACCCTAAAATTAAGGTACCAACGCATTGCAGGTATGCATATTTGACATTGGTTATAAATTTTTAAAAATTTGATAATTAAATTTATATATTTAAAAATAAAGAAACTAAAATTGTAGATTAAAAATTAAAAATTAAAAAAAAACTTTTTTGAAATAGGTTTCTCAAAGGTTATTTTTAAACTTATTACAAAATTTCAATCCGCTTGAGATCCTTCTATAACTATCATTAATTAAATTAAAGTTACTTATAATATGGGATATGATTAATGAATAATTTTGTCCCTTAAACATTTAGCTAAGAGTTCGACCCCCTAATTAATGTATATAAAAAGAATTTTGTTAATAAAGATCAATCTTTAAATAGATTTCAATACCTCAAAATATTATTGATTAACTTTAAACTTGAAAATACTTTAATTTACCAAAATTAATGATTCACTTTAAACTTAAAAATACTTTAATTTACCAAAATTATTCTCAACCACACTTTGAGAAAAGGAAACCAGCAAGCGGATTTGGTTGGCAACATGGCTCCTCATGTAGGAATGATTGGGTTATTTGGGAGTAGTGTCCACTCCAACCGAGTATGTCGCATCTGGCAGATGCTCAGATGTTGCCTTTTACTAGATTTTAGTTTCCTTGTAGTGCTGTTAACTTTTATACAAAAAAAAAAAATAAAAATTGTGAACACCTTAGGAACCGTGTTTAGATAAAGAATTTTATAAATTTAAAAAATCTTAAATTTTTAATATTTAAATTACTTTATTTCAATTTTTAACATTTTTAAAATATTTTATTTAGATAAGTTAATTTAAATTTATCAAATATTAAATTATTAGGTTAGATATGATAATTAGATTTCATTATGATAAAATTGATTTTAAAAATATATTTATATATTGAAATTTTTAAATAAATTTTATAAAAATAAATATTAGTTAATTTTTAAATATTTATAATAATTTTAAAAATTAATATTAGATAATATTTAATAATTTTACAAATATTTTTAAATATTTAATAATTAAAAATATGAATAGATAAGATATAAGATAAAATATTTAAGTGAAATAAAAAAAGTTATAAAGAATTTCAAATTTTTATTTTTTTTGGAAGAATTTAAAATTCTACTATTTCAAGAAATTTCACAAATGCTTGAATTTTAAATTCCTTATATATTTTCCATCCAAACAAGGTATTTCACCTCAAAAAATTTGAAATTCTTCAAATAAATGAATTACTCCATTTAAATTTTCCATCTAAACACATTATTAATAATTTAGTTTGACATTTCTATTAAAAGAGCACTTAAGCTAAGGAGTTACAAATTTTAAAATAAATAATAAAATCAAGTTAGTCACAGTTATTTAATTCTTTAGTTTATACTTAACATAACTCTAATTAAAATCTTACCAAAATTCAGACACAATTATCTTTCAATTTTTTTTTTAGTTTAAAAATTTAGGAAAGTTAAGTTTTATATACAAGTTTCAAGACTTTATGAACACTTATAAAAGTAAATATATATTATCTATGAAGAAAGTTCTTGTATTGGTGAAAATCAAACTAACATTCTTTTAAAATATAAATTTGTTGCTTATCGACTTTGTCAGTATTAGAGGATTGTTACCGCTTGAAAGAGTAGACAAACTTAAGTAGTACCATTTAAAGATTTTAACCACATCACGAGTATCTAAAGAAAAAGAAAGTTGGAAAGGAACTTCACTGTCGCAAGACCCCTCCATCATTGGCTTAGGATACGAAGACAATGGGCATTTCCGTCATTGCAGGATTTAGAAAGCACCAACTTCATGTCTGAAACGCGAACACAATACAATACCGCTATAAAAACTCTGATTCCACCGCCAATACTGCTACACACACACCACATTAGAACTCCTCACATTTATTCCATAAAAATCAACCTTGCATTTCCAACTATAAAACACTGCCACCACAAAAGCACTCACAACTCCTCTCCCATCTTTTTTCAGATCTACACAACACACGAAATCACAAATAAAAAAAAAAAAAAAGTAAAAAAAAAGAATGCAACTCCAACTCACACTCTCCACTCTCTTCCTCTTCTTTGTGCTGACATCCCCAACCGTTTCCACCTCGGCATCCCAGAGCAAGCCGCAGGATCTGGTCCGATCCTCGTGCGTGCACGCGCGGTACCCGAGGCTGTGCGTGCGCACGCTCTCTAACTTCGCGGGGCCCGCCAACACGCCGCTGGACCTGGCCCGGGCCGCGCTGCGGGTGAGCCTGGCCCACACGCGGCGGGCTTCCAAGTTCCTGCGGGGGCTGTCGGAAGGCGGCGCCGCAGCC